AAATGTTAAATTTTCGTAGTATATAAATTAGTCTAAAATTGGCGGTGTCCAATGTACTATCAGCTTTTAATAAAAAATTCATACCTTCAAAAAAATTTGATCATCATCATAATATGTTTCATTAAATCAAGAAACAAACCACTTTCGACGCTTGCATTAAAAATATAATATAGATGCTGTAACTTGAACTGAAATCCTCAGTAAGTCTGCCGTTTTCGTAACATCAATAGTTTTAAAATACGAGTATGTAACAATATTTTTTGAAAATACTCAATGGAATGTAAAAGTATTTGAACAAGCCTTTAAATTTTGTTTAAGCGGTGAAAGTTCGGTGACACTAAGAGAAGAATTTATAGATTTTGTTGTCGAAAAAGGAATGTTATTAAAATCTTTCTCAAAAGCTATAGAAACTTCCTGACTAGATTGAGTTAAATTATTGTTAACACTCAAGTGAAAATCTGAGTTCCGTGGTTTAACCTTGCCCATTTCACTATTAAATATACTCCACGGTATTTTAGTTTTATTGGATACAGTTTCAATTTTGTTGTTTAAATGTAAGGCCTCAACTGTGAAACACAATTTTTTAAATGTTTTAGAACATTTTTTTACATACTATCTAAATATAACACAATTTTTTTTGATCTTTATTTATAAAGTTCGCATAACTTTCATCTACATTCATAAATTCCTACTGCTGTTCATTCACTAAATGATTTACGACTGTTTCAAGAGAAAATTTTAAAAGTAAATATTCTATTAAATTTAAACTTATAATGTTAAATAATGCACTATAAAAATAATCAGCACTATTTTATAAGAAAATGTTGGAAGTTTTTTTTACCATATTACTTATCAACCTTTTCAACGATGGTTATTTATTGAAACGAACACGATTTTCTCATTTTTTGTGTAGGACAATGAGACTAATTTTTCACAATAATCTGAAGTAAAATTTTGAATGATTGATTTATGCAAGGCCTTAGAATCTGTTATAAACATCAAAACGAAAAAAATTGATTAAACCTACGTCGGATGTAAAAGCTGTAATCAAAAAAAGGTTAATTAAAATCTCTGAACTAAAAGGAAGTAAATCACAGAAGATAAAAATAAAAAGTGTTTTAAAAGGGATTGATTCTCTCAATGTCTTCCTGTCGTAATAAACAACAAATTTTAACTTTACTTAGTCCTTTCTACCCTTCTATACCTATATGTATATCGCAGCAATAAACACAGAAATTATATCAAATATAGGTATAACACATATTCACCTAAGTACTTATAATTACAAACCCAAGAAAATCCATCGGGGCTGCTATTCCCTGCCCTGAAATATCATAATGAAATGTGGTGCTTGTTGCTCTACATAATTGTTGCTAATGGTTTTTTTTTTTTTTCATTTGATCTTAGATCCGCAATCTTGATTTTTTTTATCGCTAGTATTTGATACTTGTCGGTCCCTACAACATTCCTTCGAGCACCACCAAACTATTCCTAAACTTTGCCGAGCTATATCTCTTTAAAATTGATAAAGCGGCCATCTTGATTTCCGCCATTTTGAATTTTTTCACCACCGCTAGAATTTCCTCAGGGTGTAGGTCAATGTTCGTTAAGACAGGACTCCGCTAAATCTTACCATTTAGCCAGGCAGTAGTACACCATCTCTTCAAAGAGCTGAACATGGACGTCATTTTATTCGTATTCTTCTCAGCAAACACTTCCAATTGATATACATATATTTGATATATCATGGGGGCACTCACCTCTATATGTTATAGTAGTACGCTATATTTATAAAATATATATATATATATATATATATATATATATATATATATATATATATTATTATAACACAAAGGGTCTTTATATCTTAAATCTAATTGACACCACATACATAGATCCCCGGCTTTAAGATAATAAAGACCCTTTGTGTTATAAATATATATATATATATATATATATATATATATATATATACAGCGTACTAGTATCTAAACATTTGTGCCTATTTAAATCGCCGTCAGTCAAGCAAAACTTCTAAGAATATTTTACAGTTTTAAGACAGAAAAAGAGTATAATATGTTGCGTAGTTCGGATATTTTTCGTGTTGGTAATTTAAAAAAGTATTTTAAGCAATTTTTGATAAACCGGGCAGGGTTAGCGAGTTACTTTTCTATAATGCTTATCGATGTATTTTTCTACCTATATATATTAACAACAGTGAAAGTCGCTGATAACAGATAATTATGAAATATTTATTAATTTACGGGATTTCAACTGACTCTATACTTAAACTGTGAAAAAAAAAACGTAAAACTTCTGAATCGCAGTTCGAAACAAATTGATTATGACTTTAGTGATTTGTGGTATGGTACATATTATTATTTTATGTATTTTAAATTATGTAAAATTCTTACTGTATTTATAAATATTGTTGAAATAGGCACAATATTTTATTAGAGGACTAAAAAAATGATTAACAATAAATTCTTTACAAAAATATTTAATTTTAATTTTGTGGTTCCACTACTCCTACTCCAGCTTTTCATACTCATTGAACCTTTTTGAATTCTATAGTTACGAAAAAAACGTAGATAGACTAACGCAGTATCGATTCTTGTTTATATGAGTTATAAGGCTTTTGTCTGAGACATAGCTATCAATAGATACATTTATTTATTGTTTTATCAGTATACACTATTATAATGTCTCATTTCTATAATTAAGTCCAATGACGCTCACTTTTCCAAAATGGGGATTATCAAATCGCATCATTATATCACTATGTATAGCTAGTCCAGCATACTTGTATAATAGAGGTCAATGCATGGGGGTGAATAAAAAGACATAGTCCGCCATCTTTGAGAGTCTATCATATTAGATTTAGAGTGACATCATTTTATTTTGTATTCTTCTTAGCAAACTGTTTCATTTGATATCCATATCATGGGAATGCATAAAAAATACTAGTCTGCCATTTTGGACGGTCCGCCATATTTGATTTAGAGTGACATCATTTTCCCAGCAAACGCTTTAATTTAATACCCATATTCGCATTCCTCCCAGCAAACGCTTTAATTTAATACCCATATTATGGGAGAGTATAAAAAATAACTACTGGGCCATCTTGGGCGCTCCGCCTTATTGGATTTAGAATGAATTTAGAATAAAAGAAATTGTATCTAAATCGATCGAACCATTTTGGATATATATATATATATATATATATATATATATATATATATCCGCCGTGAGTGCCGTGGTAGCTCAGTGGTTAACGCTCGCTGTAAATATAACAGAACGCGAGTAACCCGGGTTCGATCCCCGCCGGCACCAATGAAATTGTTAATTGCAATTTTAAGTGCTGATTTACCACGTGCTCGGCGGTGAAGGAAAACATCGTGAGGAAACCTGCATGTCTGAGGAATAAGAAAAAAAATATTTCCAAGACATGTGAAGTGTCAACACGCATTTGGGCAGCGCGGTGGACACTTCCTTGCCCTAAACCCTCTCAGAAATGAGGGGAGGCCTGAGCCCAGCAGTGGGACGTATATAGGCTGTAACTTTACTTTACTTTTATATATATATGTATGTATGTATGTATATGTATGGAAACGTTCGTTTATACAATAAAGGTTTATTGCAACGCCTTCTGGTGAGTTAACATAATAATAAATAATAAATATCCCGGACGTCAGTCTGAGCGAGATAAGAATGGCTCTCCAGCACCTTATAAACGGCAGGCGAGGATGGAATTACAGCGGAGCTTCTGAAAGCGGGTGGAACACCGGTACTTGAAGTCCTTCAGAAGCTCTTCAATTCCGTCCTCGAGAGTCGTTTTCGAGAGTCATTACGAATCGTCTCGCACGCAGACTCGACGACTTCCAGCTTCCCGAACAAGCCGGTTTCCGAGAAGGCTTCAGTACCATAGATCACATACATACACTGCGGCAGATTGTACAGAAGACCGAAGAGTACAATCTGCTACTTTGCCTGGCGTATGTGGACTATGAGAAAGCCTTTTATTCCGTCGAAATTTGGGCGGTGCTACAGTCCCTTCAGCGGTGCCAAGTTGAAGTCGGTATATCGAAGTGCTGAAGTGTTTGTACAGTAGGGCTACCATGGCTATCCGAGTACAGAACCAGAGTTCGAAACCTATCCAACTGCAGAGAACTGTAAGACAGGGTGACGTTATATCCCCGAAACTCTTCACCGCTGCGTTGGAAGACGTTTTCAAGCTACTGGACTGGAAGAGATACGGTATTAACACCAATGGCGAGTACATCACTCACCTTCGATTTTCCGACGATATAGTCCTAATGGCAGAATCGCTGGAGGACCTTAGCACTATGCTCAATGACCTCAATGGTGTCTCCCAACGGATAGGTCTTAAGATGAACATGGACAAAACAAAGATCATGTTCAATGTCCATGTCAAACCTATGCTGGTAGTTGTTAGGAGCACTATGCTCGAAGTTGTTGACGAGTACGTTTACCTGGGACAAATAGTCCGACTAGGTAAGTCCAACTTCGACCGAGAGGTCAATCGACGGATTCAACTCGGCCGGGCAGCGTTCGGGAAATTACGACATATCTTATCGTCAGGTATACCTCAATCTCTAAAATAATAATAATAATAAAAGGCTTGGTGTCGGCTGGGTCTTCTCGGACTCAGCAAGCGGCACCCGCCGCTGGTGGAGCACGTCGCATGCGTTGGTCACAAACAATGAACGCAAACGCACTGCGGGCGTACTTTAGGGCAAAAGGGGAAGAAACCGGATGTTTGGCATATCGGGCTCGGATGCATCGCTTTTTTGCAGAGCTGGACACATCTTTATCCGTCACTGAGCAAAACCTGGCAGACCGAGTTCGGTACATCCTGCGCTCCAACATATTTGGTGACACCGAACTCGAAAGACTACGACGTGAGGCTGTTCCCTAATCGGATGGAAATGCTACGGCTGGGAATGCGGCGCCACTAATTGCGCAGCAAACTGCAAATGGACGCTGCCGTCAATATTCCATTTGTGGTTGATTCAGACGATGATGGAATAGTCCCCCACGAACTAGAGAAAATGAGGAGCATATTGGAAGAGTCGATGCTGGAAACGCGCAGCATGCCTCTCGAAAATCGACAGCGACTTCCCCGCATACCACTTAGCATGCGAAATCGGGCTGTCGTGCTGGCTCTTAACCCAATGCTGGTGACCTATTTGGAAGCCAGCCGGGACCTTTGCGAGACGGACTCAATTCTTTTTGGCGCCGCAATGGCAGTATGCCGTATTATTGGCGCCAAACTTCCCATAGCTGGACGTGCTACTCATCAAGGTAGTGCCATCCCAGCCTGGAGAAAAAGAATCGAGGACCGTATCGCAAAGGCAGGGGCCCTTATCGGCAGACTGACAAGCTTCAGGTCGGGTAATATTAGACCGAGAGTTGTGCGCACCGTTAGAATGGCGTTTGCTGGGACAAATATTAGTTTGTCCCAACCGGATATAGCGCAGAAACTAACGGAGCGCATAGATGACCTGAAGCAAAAAATCGCTGCTTGGGGGAAGCGGATTCGACGATTTAGCGAGAGGTCAAGGCGGTTCAACCAAAATCGTCTCTTCCAGAGTGATCAGAAGAGGCTCTATAAATCATTGGAGCGACCAGAGGTATGTGGAGCGGGCCCAGGACCGGATCAGGCTGACACTGTCGCATTTTGGCGTGGCCTGTGGTCAGAGCCCGTAAACCACAGCGAGGGCCCTTGGATGGAAGTTGTGGCGAGCCAGAGTGCAAGTGTTACGCCTATGGACATCGTCACCATAACGCCTGAAGACGTGGCTGAGGCGGTCCGTAGAGCCCCGAACTGGAAAAGTCCGGGGCTCGACGGGCTGCATCATTACTGGCTGAAGGGGTTCGAAGTGTGTCACGCTGTGGTCGCCCGACAGTATCTAGAGGCTCTCGATCAGAAGTCGCTCCCGAGCCTCTTCACTACTGGGATCACTCACTTGGTTCCTAAAGATCAGGATACCACAGACCCGAGCAAATACCGCCCCATCACGTGTCTACCCACTATATATAAGACACTGACATCCATTTTGAGCGCGAGAATCGCTCGTCACCTGGAGCTAAATCAGGTGATGTCACGCGCTCAAAATGGATGTCGGGGCGGTGGTCGTGGAACCAAGGAACCACTCCTCATTGACGCGGTCATTGTCAAAGTGGTGAAACGCAACCATCGGAACTTCTCCGCCGCCTGGATAGACTACATAAAAGCATTCGACTCGGTGCCCCATGCATGGCTAAAGAGGGTCCTCGAGCTGTACAAGATTGACTGTACAATTAGAGACTTCCTTGGGCAGTGTATGGGGCAGTGGAGTACGATCCTCTGTTATCAAGGCGAGCGGATGATGGCTGCGGAGAACCACATAAGGATAAGAAGGGGTATCTTTCAGGGCGATTGTCTGAGTCCAATCTGGTTCTGCCTCTCTCTGAACCTTCTCAGTACCTTACTGGAGGGCTCCAGGAGAGGATTTCAGCTACGGAAAGGAGGAACAAAAGTGACCCACCTTTTCTATATGGATGACCTCAAGTTATTCGCCTCCAGTCGCTCCCATCTTATGGAATTGCTAAACATCACTTGTGAATTTAGCAATTCCATTGGAATGGAGCTGGGGACGGATAAGTGTGCGGTCCTTCATGTTGAAAGGGGAAGGGTTGCTAACTCTGAGGGCATAGATTTATCTATGCCCGTCAACTTAAAGACCCTTTCCGAGGCTGAAACATACCGATACCTGGGTATGTCACAGAACATCGGTATCGATGAGGCTGGTATGAAACAGTCAGTTTGCGACGTGTTTTATGCACGCTTGACCAAAGTGCTTAACAGCCTTTTGTCCGGTGTGAATAAGACACACGCATATAACGGCTGGGTCATGCCTGTCCTCATATATACCTTTGGCATACTCAGGTGGACTCAGACCGAACTTAACGCCCTGGATAGAAAAGTCCGCATTACAATGACGTCCCATAGGATGCATCATCCGAGATCGTCGGTAATGAGGCTGTGCTTACCGCGAAAGCATGGTGGGCGTTTTCTGAGCGTGCTCACCATGCATAATCGCGAAGTGTGCAGCCTCCGTGATTACTTCCTGGCGAGATCGGATGATCCATTCTATAATGACGTCATTTCTGGTGATAAAGGGCTTACCCCTCTATCCTTAGCCCACGAGCAATGGCAGGACCCAGCAGTGCTTAGCATTTCCGACCGGGAGACCGTATGGAAGGAGAAGGAGCTCCACGGGAGGTACTACAGGGCTCTTCATGAGCCCTTCGTAGATACAGTCGCCCCCCTCAACTGGCTACGTTTCGGTGACCTCTTCGGGGAAACCGAGGGTTTTGTCTGTGCAATACAGGATCAGGTTATTAAGACCAACAACTATCGGAGATACATCCTAAAGGATGGCACCGTCGACGTCTGTCGAGCTTGTCGCCATCCCGGTGAATCACTTAGGCATGTCGTCTCCGGTTGTTCGGCGCTTTCTAACTCTGAGTACTTGCACAGGCACAACCTAGTAGCCAGAATCCTACACCAAGAGCTCGCTCTGAAATACGGTCTCGTGGACCGGAAATTGCCGTATTACAAGTACTTGCCGGAAGCCGTGCTCGAAAATGACCGCGCCAGGCTCTACTGGGACCGGGCCATCATCACAGACAGGACTATTCTTGCGAATAAGCCTGATATTGTGCTGATGGACCGGGCACAGTCAAGGATATTTTTGGTCGACATTACCATTCCGTATGACGAGAACCTCGTGAAAGCCGAAACAGACAAGCAAACAAAATATCTGGACCTGGCTCACGAGGTGACCGACATGTGGGGTGGTCTGCCGACCGAAATTATTCCTGTAGTCGTCTCTGCAAACGGGCTAATCCCAGTCAGCCTCTCGGGTCATCTGAGGCGACTGGGACTACGTGGCGAACCGCTCCGGGCTCAAATGCAGAAGGCGGTGCTCCTCGATACCGCCCGCATCGTCCGCCGGTTTCTTTCTCTTTCCCCCTAACCCTCCGTTTGGTCTCCCCTGCCGAGGGCCTCCATCTGGTTGGGCTTTTATTTATTTAAGTATTTTTATATTTATTTTATGTTATTGATATTTATGTATATTTATCTTTTCATTCTCATTTATAATTATATATTTATAGAACCCAACCAGATGAGAAAACTATATAGATACTCCAAATAATAATAATAAGTTTCGTCTCCCCTGCCGAGGGCCTCCATCTGGTTGGGCTTTTATTTATTTATGTATTTTTATATTTATTTTATGTTATTGATATATATGTATATTTATCTTTTCATTTTCATTTATAATTATATATTTATAGAACCCAACCAGATGAGAAAACTATATAGATACCCCACAATAATAATAATATGATATTTATGTATATTTATCTTTTCATTTTCATTTATAATTATATATTTATAGAACCCAACCAGATGAGAAAACTATATAGATACCCCATAAAAATAATAATAATAGAAAAGTCCGCACTACCATGATGTCCCATAGGATGTATTATCCGAGATCGTCGGTAATGAGGCTGTACTAATGGTGGGCGTGGCTTCCTGAGCGCGCTCACCATGCAAAATCGCGAAGTGTGCAGCCTCCGTAATTACTTCCTGGTGAGATCGGATGATTCATTCTATAATGACGTCATTTCTAGTGATAAAGGACTTACCCCTCTATCCTCAGCCAACGAGCAATGGCAAGACCCGGCAGTATAAAGCATTTCCGACCGGGAGACCGTATGGAAGGAGAAGGAGCTCCACGGGAGGTACTACAAGGCTCTACATGAGCCCTTCGTAGATACAGTCGCCTCCCTCAACTGGCTACGTTTCGGTAACCTTTTTGGGGAAACCGAGGGTTTTGTGTGTGCAATACCGGATCAGGTTATTAAGACCAACAACTATCGGAGATACATCCTAAAGGATGGCACCATCGACGTCTGTCGAGCTTGTCGCCATCCCGGTGAGTCACTTAATGTTAAAGTCTTCCTTTATTACAACTGACTTGTTCTGTTTACTAAGTTTGAGAAAAATTTCCTCCACAATCTTTTCAAAATAGTCTTAAGTTGCACATGCGGGTCTTTAAGCGCTTTACAACAATGAAGTGCTCGAGCTCAAAACAAGCCATTTCTACAGTTCGCTCAACAGAGAGGCTCATTGAACACAGGCACATTAAACTAAATTGTACTAGCGTACATAGAAACGACAACGCGTGCAACAACTCATTCAGCCACTCTCCTACTAACGCTCAGCGAGAAAAATGTGTCTAGATTATAACTACATGAAAATTAAATAATGCCGTCGTACGTCTTAAAAACATGCAAAAATGCTTCAACTGTGAAAAAAAAAGATGTTGGAGTGATGTATCAACCACAAAATTTATATTTGATAATAATTTATAGGCTGCCATTTCTATATGAAAATCATTGATTATGAAAGGTGAATCATATAGATAGGAAACGCACTAAACTACCTACTACCGGTTTTATGGTTCTTTTTTTATTCAAGTTAGTATTACTTGGACTCATTTATTTTATTACTTATTTTATTTAAACGAAATATTTTCCGTGTAGTGGCGGATAAGAATATCCACTACCCCATATCTTCCCGTGGGTGTCGTAAAAGGCGACAGAAGGACATAGACAGGAGATGGGCAGCAACATCTTCCTAATAACAACAATAATATAATAAAAACTGCGGTTGCCAACCCGCTTGCCAAGCGTGGCAACTATGGCAAATATCCCCCCATGAGCAACGACACAAACAAACGGCCCCCAGTCCCCGGCGGCCCCGCTATTCGTAGCTACGGTGGCGACCATGGCAACGGCAGGGCAGGGGGTGCTAAAAATCTCCGATGGAGGTTCGGTTGCCACCTACGACGACTCGACCTGGCAACATATAACGCACGCACCCTGAGGACTGACGAGAAGATACTGGAACTGGAAGAAGAGGTAGACACGTTGCGCTCCCATATTATTGGATAATCCGAGGTCCGAAGAGAGAGGGAGGACACGATAATCCTCGAGTCCGGCAACTTGTTCTATCACCGGGAGGGCGACCATCTATCCCAAGGAGGTGTCGAATTTATCGTCCACAAGTCTCTCGTTAACATCGTTGTAAAGACTGGGAGTGTGTCGACGAGAGTCGCGTACCTGATACTCAGAAACACCAAACGGTATTCGCTGAAGGTCATACAGGTTTAAGCACCAACCTCGGCACATCCCGATGAGGAGGTGGAGGAAATGCATGAGGATATTTCTAGAGCCATGCATTCCTCTAAAACTCACTACACGGTGTTGATGGGAGACTTCAACGCAAAACTAGGCCCAAGAGAAAGCGATGAGCTGAAGTTAGGGAAATTTGGAGTAGGGCAACAGAACCGTAGGGGCCAGCAGCTGGCCGACTTTATGGAGAAAGAGGAACTCTTTATGATGAACTCTTTCTTCTAGAAGCGGACCCACAGGAAGTAGACCTGGTCGAGCCCCGACGGTTTGACAAAAAAGAGACTTCATTATGACGGCCAGACGCCAACTGTTCAGTGATGTCTCGGTGATCGCAAGGGTGAAAATTAGTAGCGATCACCGAATGGTTAGAGGCACACTGAACTTAAACGTTAAGTTGGAGAGGTCTCGTCTAATGAAATAAACGCTCCGTCCCCCTCATGCTCTAATCCAGAATCCCGAAACTTTTCAGCCCGAGTTATGTAACCGCTTTCAGTGCCTAGAAGATTTCAATGCAGTGGACGATATGAATGACAAGCTCATGGAAACTGTCCATGCGGTTCGAGCTAAGTTCTTCAAGGCCCGCCACAGAAGAACACAAAAACTCTCCGATCACACTCTTAATCTCATG